GCCCAGACTAATGTTTCACCGAGTATCTAGGAACTGTGGCCCAGACAAACAGACATATAAAATTAACCATCATAAATGCATTAAACAAATCAAGATTCTAGATCTGAAAAATTGAAAGCCAGACCTTAAAACATAGTAACCACATCAAGCCAGTGTTCTCCATAGATCCTAAAAAGTCAGCTGACCATCTTCTTTGATATCTTTGTACATCTTGCCACAATGGAATAATGGGTTATTTGTTAAAATTCATGGTCTGTGAGGGGACAATCACCAGATCTTTGACGGTCAGAGTTAATGAAACACAGAAATCTTTTAGCTTCCCAATTCCCTAAGGGTGTTGTCTCTGTAGTAATTAACTGAGGACAAGGGGGAGGGCGCCTGGGACAAACAAGCTTGGGAAACACTGGTTTAAGCAGTTAGAGAGGTGTCTTTGATGGGACTTCATATACAAATGAAGCTGTAATATACAAATATGTACCCTAATGTGGATCTCCAGGAGGCACACATCACCTCCAGAGCCCCCCAAACCTTTTCTGGCCAGAACTCCTTTAGGTAGCTGCTTAGGGGACAAGGGTTCTGCCAGTCACACCCCGAGGGACAGGAATCATCTCCAGCCATTCCATTCCACAGTGTGAGGAACTGAGATTTCAGAGATGAGTTCCCTGGCTGAGGCGGCATGTGACAGAGCCAAAGCTAAAATCCGCATGCCGGACGCAGCCCCTGCTCTGTTCACATCACAGACATGGGATCTAGTGCCCATTCTAAAAACAGGGCACCCTGAGCGAACCCTTGCTTGACGCTTATTCGTTACAAACAATTGATTGGAATCCAGGTCTCCTGAATCTCAGCCTGGAACAAGGAAAGTTCAGAACTGCGTAGGGAGTTCAATATCTTCAGCATGTTTAGCGATGGCAGGACTGCAGCTGAGACCCCAGGGGAGGATGAATCACGATTGTAGCGTGCCTGGTAAGATGATCCCTTTAAGCCAGCGGATGCTGGAGACCATTCAAAGGGCTGCGCCACACCCGGGGCTTCCTGCCCGGGCAACAGGAAGTGCACAGACAGGGTTCACTTTCTCTGCACGGCAGCAGGTGTGTGGCCCAGGCAGAGGTTTCTTCCAAGTCCTTTCCTAGACTTTTCAAGCTGGAAGATTCAGCTACCCCTAGACTGGGTTGTGCCTAACAGAGAGGAGCCCTGTGGTCCAGGTTTTGGCCTGCACACACTGGGCACAGCTGTTGGCGATTGGGCAGAGACAGCCCAGGAAGGACTGTGGGGGCAGAAAAGAGACAGACACCTCTGGTGCCCCATGAGTGCCCATGCAGCACGTCTGGGGAGGGGCCCGAGCATCTGCCCGTCTAACAAGCTCCCTGTGAGGCTGCTGTTGCTGGTCCAGGGACCACCACTGGAAGACCACTGCTCTAGAGCGTCCCCTGCAGCACGCCCTGCACTGCGTGAACGCAGAATTGTTGCAGCAGGTCTGAATGAGTGCTGCCTCCATTCTTACCATTTTGCCCCCCATTTTAGAACTGAAATAGGAGGGTTTGTATCCTGTCTCTCCACAGGTAGCTGCCTGGGAGACCAGTGCACAGACTCAGCGAATGGGGTGGGTGACTGCTTGAATATTTTAAACCGCTTTATTGAGACATAATTCACAGAACACACCATTGCCCATTTAGAGTGTGTAACTCAGTGATTTTCTGTAGAGTCACAGATGTGCACAGCCATAACCACAGTCAATTTTAGGGCATTTTTTGTTGTCGTGAAGGGAAATCTATACCCTTTAGCTGCTGCTCCCCTGTCCCCTGCCATTGCCATCCCTGTCCTAAACAACCACTAATCTAACCTACCTTCTGTCTCTATAAATTTGCCCTTTCTGGCTGTTGCATGTAGATGGAACCACACAATGTGTGGTCCTTTGTGTCTGGCTTCTTTGACTTAGCATATTTTCAAGGTGCTTCCATGTGTGGATGGGCTTCAGTCCTTTTTACAGCCGAGCGATACTCCATTGTACGGATAGACCACCTTTTGTTTACCCACTTATCCACTGTTGGGTTTTCATTTTTGTAGGGAATAATGGGTTATTTGTTAAAATTCATAAAACCGTACACACAGAGAATAAATTGTACTGTCTGCTAGTTTTTAGAAAAAGTACCCAGCAGCTTCCACTTCCTGTGGCCTGGGAAAGGGCTTCCCTGAGCTGCCAGGTGAGACCCCCTCCGGCTTTTCCGAGACCACTGAGGGACACCGGGTGTCCAGCCAACAGCCCCAGCCGACGCCAGCCTTCCCTTCCGAAGCAGACATATGAGTGAAGCGGTACCACCCCCAGGGGCCTGGCCAAAGCCACCTGGAGCAGTGCAATCTCCCACCCACACTCATGCCCCACAGAACAGTAAGGTACAATTAAACTGTTGCTTGAGGGACCACGTCTAGGTGTAGCTTCACAGCAATACGTAACAGGCAGCTGCAGTCCTTTCCCTAGAGGAATTGTCAAGGAAGTCTCTCTCCCAGCCATGGTCATCCACACACAGGGGACAGGTGATGGCAGAGGCCATCTGACCATCTCTTTCCTCCACACAGACCCAGCACTTTCCTGTGAAATGGGACTCAGATCGAGTCCCTCCCCTGCTGGAACCCCTGTGATTTGCTCTCATTCCCATTTCTCACCACTTTCTCTCATTCAGTATTTCTCTCAAAAGCTTTGTTGCAATAGAAATCATACACATACAATGAACCCACGTAAAGTGTATACAGTTGGATGGTTTAGTACATTCATAGCACACATCTCCGCCTGACCCACATCTGTTGGTGTCTGTCCCCATGGGGATGTAAGCCCTGGGCAGTGCCCTGCTGTCTTGCTCATTACTCTGACCCCAGCGTCTCCAGCCATGCCCGCCTGGCACAGAGCCGATGCCTAGTGAGCACTTGTTGCTTTCATGAACAGCGTCATCAAGCTCATGGGGAAGGTGAGACATGAGCTGGTCTTAACGCAAGGATGCAGGGAGGGCCTGGTGCGTGATGGCCCAGCCTCAGCTGACCCGGGAGGACCTTGGGGTGTGTGCAGCTCTGGAAGCTGGGCTCGGTGCTCACCCTGCCCCATCAGACTTACCTGTCCTCTCCCTGCTGCCACATCTGAGTCAGGGGATGGCAATCTTTGCTGTGGTGGGTGGAAGCCAACGGCTTCCCTAGTTAGCTCCTCAGCCCACAGATTTGCAATCTGGGGGGTCTTTCTGGGGACATAACACCCCACATAGGAACTTTAAATGGAGATTGCTTTTTGAGTAGTTCAAAGAGCAGGGTCTGAGCTGGCAGACCTGGGTGAAAACCCAGCTCCCCGTGTAACCGGTGGAGCTGGTGTCAGGCCCAGGCCCTGTGCCCTCCTCTGATTCTAGCACAGGGTGGTGGCCGCCGGGGCAGGCTCGTCTGGCTGCACACAGACCACATCTCCCTGCACCTCACCCTTTCTGCCCCCGAGGCCTCTCAGATGCTGAGCAGCAGCTCGGTGCACACAGAGCAGCCCAGGAATGGAGGGTACGAAGGCCTCTGGGAGCAGCCCTGGCTGAGGAGACGGCGGCCAGGAAATGCTCTGCTCTCCTTCCTGGGGTAGATGTATGGGAACACACCTGCTCCTCCAACTCATTAATGCTCCCCCCGCAAGAGGGGCCACTTCTGCTTCCCACCTCCAAACCTGGGGGGGCCTCTGTGTTGACCTCATGGGGCAGAATGCAGCAAAGGTGCGCCCTATGCTTCCCTAGGTGGGAAGAGGCATGCGCCTGCCACTCACACGGGGGAGGCTCACTGTGGAGGCCTCTGGCTGCCATGCGAGAAATCTGGGTGAGGCCGGCATGTGGAGAGACCGGAGAGACCAAAGAGGTAGGAGGGGAAGAGAGGGCAGGGGAGCGAAAAGGGGGGCAGCTATATACCGAGAGAGAAGGGAGAGACTGAGATAGAGATGGAGGGGTTGGGGCAGTGCTGAAGGAGCTCCATCTTGCAGCGAGATTCCAGGAGCTGCTACTTGACGGGGGCTTGTGGGTTAGATTTGTCAGCGAATTAATTGATAGTTATTATTTCAAGCCACCGCTTGCGGGGACTTATTACTCAGCCATAGATAAAGCACCCACCCATCAGCTTTTCCTCTTCCTTGTCTCGCTCTGGCTTCCTGAGGACCACCTCCCCACATAAGCCACCTGCCTTTCAGCCCTCGTCTGAGGCTCTGCATCCGAGAGAACCCAAAGGCAAGCACCGGCCAGCTGGGTGGGTAAGGTAATTAACCTGCGCCTTGAATTCTGCATCCGGAAAAAAATGGGAAGAGTATCATTTCTACCCTAAGATTCTTCTGAGGCTCCAAGATAGAAACTGGGTGAGTTTGGCACCTGGCAGTGTGTCCTGTTCGGGGGGCAGCTCATTGGCTCAGAGGTAAATCCGAATGCAGTTTCCAGGGGTGATGGGCTCAACAGGCACCTCCCACTGTTCTCCCCAAGCAGAACCGTGAAAGGTCCAGTTGGGAAACGGTGCCAAGCTGGGGTGCACTTGTCGCTGGCAGCCTTGGAAAACCCTGGGGGTGCAGGGGTGCCATCTCCCTCTTCTTGGGCCCTGTGAGAAGTAAAGAGGATTCTGTTCTCATAGAAATGTTACTGTATCTTTCTGATAATAAAATGCTTGCCATAAACTATGTTTCCCCCGGTTTGCTTTTCTTTTCCAATCAAATTTCCCCAACTGTCACAGATTTAAGCAAAAGTTCCATTTCTGGTCACACGGCTTCTTGTGCAGTCAAGAATCTGAATGAAATTCCTGGCAAAATACAGTAATTAGAAGCACATGAGAGCAGGCCACCACTGCTCCCCATCTCCCACAACACTAAAAGGCAGTTTGGTTAATTTCCGAATCATATTTGGGCTCAAGACACAAAGGGTTCTTTTTCACTGGGGCAGAGAAAATAGGACTGAAGGTCATTACAATAACCACTCAAGACTAGAAATTTAATTATAAAAGAAACCATACCCTAGCAGGCAAATCATTTTAATGTTTCAAGAATTGGATACTTGGTATGGAATTAAAAGCAAAGAAGAAAAAAACTAACGTGCAGAAAATTAATTAAAAAAGAAGACACAGAAAGGCTTCCAAGGTCAGAACATCACAAATACAAACGCAACAAATTAAAACATACACAATTACAGATTTTGGTAACATTAGTAGCCAGAACATACCCAATGAATTACTTAGTATCTTAAGCTAATTCTGAAAGGGGTCTGGTGGTGATGATTCACTTCAGTTGAGCCAAAGACTTGACTCCTTTCTTTGACTGCAAGCAGATGGGTAAAGACAGCTTCAAATAATGTTGAAAAGGTGTTCTTTTTCCCAAAGAAAACGGAAATGCGTTTATCTCCTCTGCTCCCTCCACCAGCAAATTTATACATTCATTCCTTTTAACTAAGGCAAGCAAAAGACAATTTCTTGAGACCCACCCCCCCAACAAACACCCTCAGAAGCCACAAATTCTATCCACATTAAAAGGAAAAAAAAAGAAAGGAAGAAAGGAGGGAGGGAAGAAGAAAAAGAAATGAGCACCTCCAAAGAGGGCAGTAATTCTATAAAGCACAGGCTGCGTCATTGCTTAGCTTTTGTGATTTCATGTTTAAATGCCTTTCAAAGGGGTGGGCAGGGCTGGATCGGGACTGCTGCCCAACCCGGGTGGAGAAACGGCCTGTATGCCCAAGGAGATGATGCATCAGTTCTCAGGGATCTTTTCGGGCCTGGGTACTCTGCTGAGGTAGGAGCTTCCCAAGAGACAGAACATCTGAGGGAGGGAGTGTCTTCTGGGCAAATCAGAGCCGTCTTGCTCAGCTGGGGACCTAAGAGGGTCATACTCACAGGCCACATGTGACCTTATGAAACTCAAGAGTTATATCAGACTGCGGCCCCGGGGGAGAGCAGGGCTCCAAGGTGAAGCCACGTGAGGTGGGCAAGAGCCCCATGCCAGCCGCAGGACATTGCCTGGTGAGTGCAAGCTCAAGGGGCTGGGGGTAGGAGGTGTGAGGTGGAAAACCCTGGCAGGCAACCTACAAAATGGTTCTTAGCAAATGGTATCAAAAAGTATCAAAACATTTCAAAAAATTTAAAAAACTGCCCGGCTTGGCACCACACAGAACAGGGTCTCCAAGTGCCAGTGGAGCTGCCCTACACTCGAGAGGCTTGTCCTGGAGGCCAGGACACGGCCTCCTCCCGTCCCCTCCGAAGACACTCAGAATCCATGGAGACACCAGGGATAGCCCTGCCCCTCCAGGAGTGGGACCAGGGGTCTGAGCTGGCCAAAAGCTCTGGGACCAGGAGGACTGTGAGGTGTGCTCAGGTGACGGTGGCCGAACTGTGGGCCTGGGACGAGGGGCTCAGGATGAAGGCTGATCGCTGCACCAGGGGGTGAGCAGACATCCTTCCACTCCCCACATTAGTCACCGAAGCTTGCTGCTGGCTTAGGGGCCAGGTACTCTGATCACAGGTTAACTCACCTGAACTCAGAGTGGGCCCCTGGACCTCATAGGAGGCACTCTACCCCCCTTAGTGTTTGGGTTTCCATGCCAAACTGAACACCCCTTACTTAGGGTTGGCTTCAGGGGTTTCCACTAAGTCACCATGACCACTCTTACCGCTAAGAGGCAGTGGGAGGGCGCATTCCAGATACAAATACGCACACGAGCTTTTCTGCTCAGATCAGGAGTCAGAGATTCTACGTGGTAGACCTTCTGGAATGGCAGAATGTCGACAATGCCGGTGGGGCCATACATGCAAGCATGTTGCTAAGGCAATCTCCGTCTATTGCAGCAGCAGAGAGGCCACTGTAAGTAACAAGGGTTTTTCAGCTTTTCTACTCCCTTTCCTTTTACTGTTGTATTTATGTCTTAAGCAAACAGACTTCCAACTTGGGTGAGGATCAAACTCAAAACCTATAATTAGTATGAAGTTAAAAGTAGTTCTTTGAAAGTGAGAAAAACACAAAACCTGAATAAAAGCCCACCATGCTTATTTTGAAAGATCAAAAATAAACACACAAAAAGATCCAGGTGTTCTCAAAGTTCAAGCACAAGTGTCCAGAGCATGGGCGGTTGGACATGATGCAAATACTGCTGTTTCCGACTCAAGAGAGCAGCCCACAAACACCTGAGCCTTCGCCACTACGGTCTGAAACTACACTATCATGATCTTGCAGTTCAAATGGCCACGGGCCTGAATCTATCCCCAAGCTCTGCCCATCTGGCTTAAAATACATTTTCCTCCCTTCTTAGTTGGACCGTCCAGCAGAGTGACTTCCACAGCATGGAGGCAAAGATCCTGCGCGAGGTCCCACCCCTTGGCTCTCCCAGGCCCAGGCAGGCCTGCTCACCGGCCATGACACTCCTCTCCACTGACCTGAACAAGCTCAAAAACCTTTCTTAGCACAGTGGAGCCCCCACCCATTATTTGAAGTCGGTTCACAAGAGGAAATCTACTTGCCAACTCTACCTTTAAAAAGAACACTCCCAACCTTGGTAATATTAGATTCTAAGCCATGCAAATGACAAGCTGCCTTTACAGTGGCAGGACAGACACCACAAAATGTTAGGTGTGGGACACTGTAACCCAGAAGGCGCGAGGAAATCAGAATGGAAGCCATCACCACACCCTAATCCTGGGACTCACTCTCATAGTCAGAATGTAACAGCTGGCTTAGGCTGAAAGTTGATGGCTGGCCCCTCCCCAAGGTCAAAGCCATTATGCTCCTGGAAGCACACATGGAATCTCTGTACTCTTCTCTACCTGCTCTTGGATTCTGGTTTTTGTTCAGGACCTGGGCTGCATTGGGGACAAGAGACTACAGGGTTTTCAGGTAACAAAACCTTTCCTGGAATAGGAAGGGGACAAGCCATCCTAAAGTAGGCAGAAGTTGGGCAAAACATGTTCTGTGGAGGGCTGGACTAAGTATGAGACAAAAAAGAGTTTCAGGCTCAATGAAGTCTGGAAATACTGGGTTCATGGAAGGTTAACAGTGCAGGACTTCTCAGAGCCTTTAATACACCAAAGTGCTGTGGAGCTCCAAGAAGACTATGGTTTCTGGGTTGTTTGCATGCCTTGCAGAACCTCGCTCAACAGTTTGTAAGTTCCTAAGGACTTCCATATGCAAGGAACTAGCTAAATAGGCAGACTGCTCACGCAACTAGCGACCGAGGGCAATGACTTGGGTCCTGAAACTCAACTCCAGAGTCACTCTCAGCTCCACTGGTCACTATGGAAATGGGCCAATCAAAATCACAGTGAATCTTGAAAGGAAGAAAAAGTGCAACAGAGAGCCAAAAAAATAAGTAAGTTAACTGAGATTCTTATTCAAATATCAAAGTTAACAAATCTTGACGCGTTCTCCTCTCTGCTACTGGATCTCTGTCAAGGCATAGCTCATTAGTGCCTCATTTGGCTCATGACTAAAACAATCACGCTCTCTCCTGCCATCCTACTCGCATGACACAGTGGCTCAGTTTTGGTCTCAAACTCTCCTCAAAGGACACACACTGTCGGTCCTCCTCTGGCAACGGCAGGAACCCATCGACGTGGGGCAGTCACCCACCTGGACAGGAGGTGCTGAATATATATCAACAGCTTCTACAGACTGAAAGAGCGAACCCCCAGGAGCAGCCAGGCGATGAATTCACTGAACCCTGCTGCTCAGTGAATGAGGGAACAGCTCAGGACTTGTACAGAATTTGCCTAGCGGCACAAAACTACTGAGCAGCAGATGGCCGGGACCAGGCCCTGTCCCTTGAGTTGAGGGAGATACCTGACCACCTTCACGGGGCCCTGTGTGGAGCTTTCGATGACGTCTCGGAGCTGGAGTCACAGAAAACAATGGCAAATTCTAGGGTGCTCACTTTTTCTTTCCTGAGAAATAAATGTAGATTTGGGGGGCTCAGTACATCAGCAACATAGGGAACAGCAGGTTCAGAAAGAAAAGTTTACAAAGCACAAATTATAGCGGAACTTATAAAGAGCTTCATGCCTTTACAACAAAACTTTTCCCTTGATTACCTATAGCCTTTTAGAATTCAGGAAGATTATTAATCAGGAAAAACGGGAACAGTTGCCACGTGATGAGGAAATCCCAGTGGGGAGTCCTCCGTGGTGAGAAGTCCCAGGTCTCACCTGACTGTCCCGAGCCAGCTGGTATCTCCCTTGCCCTCTCAGGACCTCTGTGTCCTCACCTATTAAAAATAATTGCTCTTGACCACGCCAGTGAGTCCTAAATGTGGCTAATGCTTAGTCCCACTGACACCCCTAGTTTCACTACAGAAATTTCTGTGTAAGCCCTGCCCCAGCCACTCTCAAGGAATATTAGAAATCACCCTCAGTGATCCGTAATGTGGGAAGAAGCCGTGCATAAGCATAAGGGGATATTTCCTGCCTGGGTCCAGGTTTAATTTATTCAAGCAGCCTACTATGTAAAATTATATAGAATATTTAATTGGTTACTGTGATATCATAGAAAGACTAAGAATCATAAAAGTAAAAAAAGTTGCTAACAAGTCTGTAATAGTTCCAGGGTTCTGTGAAGTTGCTGATGGTCTCCAGACACTCTGGGAGGTGGCGGTGGGGACGTGGGCCAGGCTGGTGCCAGCGAGGTCACTGGCCCGGGTCCTGATGCCTCTTACCCTTGCCCTTCTTCTTCTTGTCCTCCAGCCGCGGCTTCAGGGCACACACGCAGGCCGACACACCGGCGATGGCCTTGGGCAGGTCGGTGCCCTTGCTCCACCTGTCTTTCTCACGGTCGTATACCTGGACCGTCTTGGAGAAGGCTGTGCTCTCCCAGCTGTAGCCGCCCAGGATGTAGATGCGGCCCTCCCACACGGCCACCCCCGACTCGCTGTTGGCGTGTAGCAATGGCGCCACGCGGGTCCACTGGTTGCACTGTGGGCTGTAGGCCTCGACGCCCAGCACGTCGAAGCGCTCCATGGACTCGATGCTGTCGTCGCTGCCCCCGATGGAGTAGATGCTGTCTTCCAGGCTACACATGCTGTGCCAGCCGCGTGCCGTGCTCATGGGCCGCCGCTCCTCCCACACGTCCGTCCGGTGGTCGTAACACAGCAGGTTCTTGCGGTAGGGGCCGATCTGGTAGTCGTGACCCCCAGAGATGTAAACGAAGTCTTTGTAGATGGTGCCCGCGTGGCCATATGTGAACCTGGAAAGAGATGGACAGACGGATGGATGAAGAGAGAGGAAGCTCAGGGCTGCACGGGGCCAGACCTCCCCGAGCAAGGGTTTCAGTGTTTTCCTCTGCACAATGGGGACAGCTGCCCTCTGGTGGGGGCTGGGGTAGGATGTGAGGATTGAGGGGGTAACGCAGGGAGCAGGCCCCCTGTGTGCACTTCATAGAGGGTGGCTGTCACTGGAGAGCTGGCGGCAGAGCAGGACGGGTAAACGCCGGCTTCGTGGTCAGACCATCTGGGCTAGAACCCCAGCTCTGCACCTCTCCCCATCTCCCCATCTGAGGAGTGGCATTGATCACAGACTGTCACCCTTCTTATAAAGGCTGAAGATGACAAAAATGTATCTCCTGAGGCACCTGATCAGACACAGAAAGCGACATAAAGCTCAATTCCAACTCTGTGACCTTCCGGAAAAGTCAAGACCAGAGGGCTGCCAGGGGTTGGGGGGCAGGGGATGAATGGGTGGAGCAGAGGATTTTAGGGCAGCAAGAATCCTCTGTGTGACACTGTCATGTGGAAACGAGCCATTACACGTTTGCCCAAACCCACGGGGTATACAACACAGAGCCAGCCCTCTCGCAGACCGAGGACCTCAGTCAATGATAACGCGTCGATATTGGCTCATCAGCTGTAACAAATGCCTGCACACTGCGAGGCGGGAACAGGAGGGAAGCTGCCTGGCGGGGACACTACATGGGAACTCTTCGCATTTTTGGCCCAATCTTCTGTAAGTCTAAAATTGCTCTACAAAATGAAGGCTACAGAAAGACAAAAAAGAAACCAAGAAAGGAACAATGTCACGGAATTCAGGGTGGTGGTCACATAGCCAGGAGGTAAGTGGGCGGGAGGAAAGCATTTGGGGCGACCCAGTCCAGTGCTGGCCAAGTCACCGTTCAATGGCTTGGTTCTTGGGTTGGGCTGTGGGGTCAGGGAGGTCCCATTATACACATAAGTCAATGAATGATAAGATGTCAGCAAATAAATGAAATTAGAGTGGAACCTGCATGGACTGGTGGTGCCACGTCACGGATTACACTTATTTTATTGCTACTCAGTATACCTGAGGTCCCCTGAGGAAGAAAACATAATCAGGTTGTCATAGCATTTAAGGTACAGAAATCACGCCGGCTGGCCCAGAGGAAGTGATGGCGGCAGGTGTGCTTATTGCTATTATTGAGCCTCACTTCTCCATCTGTAAAACAGGATGATCAAGTTCCCAAGCCCAGGGAGACCACAGGTCTGGGTTTGCCTACAGCAGGGTCAGTATATACATGACTGACCTGCCCTGTTCACTGCCATCCTGGCTTGGATGATAGATCATATGGGCACCTACCTCCACCTCACTGGGAACCGTGGCTATCAAAGGACTCATCACATAAGCACTTGGCCCAAAGTTGGCATGTGGCAACCAGAGGCTGCTATCCCACTGTCAGATGTTAACAGGCACCCAGGTGATACAGTCCACAGGCTTCTTGGGGTCTGCATGAAGGTGGTAGCAACCGGGGCTGGGAGGAGCTGAGATTCACAGCATGTCCCCAAGACACCTGGATGTATTCCACAGTAAGCCTGCCTCGGCAGGCACACTTATAGGTTCAGCTACAGGGCCCTGCTGGAGTGCATGGCACAGACCTTCTGCTAAACCAGCAGCGATGATAAACGGGCAGTAAACGCACACCTCGGTGCAGACACACTGAAGGAGCGTGAAGAGTTCCAAGCCTGCGGTATGCCCTGTGGGCGGGATGCTGCGTGAGAGGCCCCTGAGCAGGATCTCACCTAGTCCTCAGGACAGCCCTACACATCACGCCCTCTGCACAGACAAGGACATAGGAAGCGGGGTGGAGACAGCTGCTGTGTCCCAGATAGGCCCCCCTCTTGAAATAGCTCTTGCCCAAACTCAGAGATTTTTTAAGTGAATCTCTTCCTAAGGGAACTTAGTACTCACTCTCTGAAACTCAGGAAGTGAACAGACTCAAACCGAGGGCTCTCGGCCTCAGCAGCACAGCTGACACCTGCACTTGGGCAGTGCAAAGCCAGAGCCCTGACGCATCCCGACATGCCCTCCACCCCAAGGGGTGTACGCACCAGGATTCCCTAGCCAGGAGGTTCTTCCTGGAACTGAAGGCCAAAATACCCAGAAAGTGACGGAGACTGAACTCTGACCCAAAAGTTGTCACATTGAAGGGCCAAACAAAACCCACAATCACCTTGGCAAACCGGCCACATAGGACCAGGAGTCGGTCTTGGGACTGTATGTCTCTACCGAAGAGAGAGCTCCATTTTCATTCCGGCCACCGACGGCCACCAGCATGTCCTCAATGGAGGCAAGGTAGAAATCCACGCGGCGCTGGTTCATGGAGGCCACCTGTGGAGGCGAGACACCTGTACCTTCCCTGCCCCAAACCCGGGGCAGGGTCAGCACCAAGCACCGACTCCCCAGATGCGCTCTACGAGCTGCGCAGCCCGGGAAGGTGGGCCAGGGCCAAACGGGTCTGGGGGAAGGGAGCCGAACTTGAAGAAAGGGGGGTTCTTTAGGTGGGACTGTGCAGAGCCCGGAAGAGCCCTCAAGACAGAAATCCCCAAGCAGGGATGGAGAACACAACTCCCCAAGTTCGTCTGGCCACACGGGCTTGAATTCTGCAGGACACACAGTTCAGAACTGCTCATCTCGTATTTTCTTGGAAAAAAAATTCGTCTTTCCTTTTGCACCCCACCCCCTTCATCAGATACTTTTAAAAATTAGTGCTGACTGCCATCCAATGTTAACAGGCAGAAAGTGGCACTCTAGGGGAAATTAAAAAGCAGAAGACCCAACTTTTTTTTGATAATCTGAGCAGAACACACAAGTGAACACCAGTCTGAAGGAGATCCTACCTTCAGGCCGTCACCAGTACACAGCTTTTGAGGACAGGCTCCAAAGCCAGGAGGCTCTCTCGAGTGGCAAGACTTACACCTTGAAGTGTGGTTTTAGATTTAGATTTGAGAATAAAATCAAAAGGCCACTGGAGTCCATTCTGAGTTTTGCACCCAGAAAAACACCGAGGTAAGTAAAAATGCTGAGGTATGAGTATAAAGACGGAGTCGGATTTTGAAGGATGGTGGTCTGGAGAGGTGTTCAGGGGGAGACAAGGACACCTTCCCTATGCCAGGTGCTTGCCAATCAGTGTGAGCTTCAATCCTCCGACCTGAGAATGTCAACAGCCCCCAACCGCTTCCAGAGGGGGAAGGTGAAGTTTGGGGAGGGCAAGGACTCGGTCTGAAGTCCCCAGCTATGATTTAGCCACGTGGGGATGTGAACTCAGATCTGATGCCGAGACCCAAGTGCCCCCCAGAGGGGCATAGCTCCTGGCAGGTATGAGCCTTCGTGGCCTCCTTAAACCGGCTCCAAAACTTTCCAAAAGAGGAGCTTGGCAGTGACTCAAGACCCGGGGAGCATCATTTCAACTATGGGCCAAACTTGACTTTGCGGAAGGTGGTGGGTCAGCCCTCACGGCCCCCATCCAGGGGAGGGTGGGAATCATGTGGCTCGTCACTTTATCATCACACCTCTTTCAGAAGCAGGAGGGTGGCCAAGGCCCCACAGAAGGGAGGGTTAGGAGATGAAAAGTCCTCAAGAGTAAAGAAATAATCCAGCTTTAATCTCACCTTGATCCACTGTTTACAGCGGGGGTCATACCTATAAAGAAGATTGGACGCCGCATCGCCTCCGTTGTCCCGTGAGAAGCTGCCACCTGCGATGAAGATGAAGCCCCCCAGGACGGCCACACAGTGGTGGCTCCGCCGGGCCGGCAGTGGCGTCTCCTTGACCCACTGCTCGCTCTTGGTGTCCAGGTAGCAGGTGTCATCACTGAGCTCCAGACACCGCTCGGAGACCTCGCCGCCCACGAACAGCAGGCGCTCCTCATTGGTGCGGAGTGCCGTGCGCTTGGTCTGCATGACTGGCTGGGCCGCCAGGCTGTTGTGGTAGTGCACGGCCTCCTCAATGAAGCCCTCGCAGTTGGCCTCCCTGGGCAGCAGCGAGCACACGGCCGGCTTGACGCGGTGCAGCAGGTCATTCTTGGGGATGAGTGGGAAGTGGATGTTCTCCAGCACCTGGTAGGCGTGGGCCTCGCGCTCGGGCTGCTGCGTCAACCACTGCAGGGCGGCCTGCAGCAGGTCGTGCTCACATTCCCGCTGCACCTCACTGCTGCTCAGGTACACGCACAGCTTCTGCATGGAGACGTTCTGCAGAAAGTCGGGCGTGAAGGACAGGGTGCCGAAGCGGCGCAGGATGAAGCCGTCGATGAAGGCGTCCAGCCGCTTGAGGCTGTAGATGGAGGCCAGCTCCTGGAGGTACAGGTAGTTGTCCTCGCTCACCTCCTGCTCCAGGTACTCGCAGCAGAAGTCCACCACCGTCCAGATCTGCAGCAGGTGGGCCGTCTCCAGGATGTAGTCGATGTTGCCGCCGTCCAGCGCCAGCTCCCCGCCATACAGGAAGTCCACCACGGCCTTGAGCCCAATGTAGGAGGCCCCGATCAGCTCTACCTCCTTCTGGAAAGCCTCGCGCATGCCGATGGTGAACATGGAGTTGAAGTAGTCACTGCACACGGCCAGCAAGTTGCGGTGGGCTGGCACACGCTGTTCGTCGGCCACCAGGACGATGTCACAGAAAAGGCCTCGGAGCCGCTGCTCATTCAGCCGCTGCAGCACGGTGGTCGAGTGGCCGGCCCAGTGGTACACCTGCAGCGAGGAGCACAGGTCGGAGGTGGCTCGTGCCTACACCAGGAGGGAAAGCACGAGCCCGCCCACCACAGTGTCCTGGAAGCAGTCTAGTGTGCTGACAGCCAGCATTTAAATGCAGTGTAACAAAAGAGAGAAGCACTTAAAATACCAGAGTGCACTGCAGGAAATAAGGGTGTTTCTAGGGATACATGCACGTGTATAGATGTACATTTTCTTTCTTTCCTTCCAAATACCTAAATACTAGCCTAGCCATTCTCCTTCCTACCTTCTTTCTTTATAAATGTAATTCCTAAATACTTTCTCTCTCTCTCTCCCTCTTTCTCCTTCTTTGCTTCTTTATAAGTAGAATTCCTAAATGTTTTTTCTTCCCTCCCTCCCGTGCCCTCTTTTTCTTACTGTGGAATGTGAACAAATAGGTTTGAAAAATGCTGTCCTATCAGGATAGTAAATTTGCTCAGGATATAGCCTCTAAAATCAGACTGAATCTGGGTTACAATGCCAGCTCTGCTCCTTACTAGCTGTGTGACCTTGGATAAGTCACGAGAAGCCTCTGAGCCTCTATTTCTTCATCTCTCAAGTGAGGGTGAGGGTGCTTACGTCTCGGGGCCTGGGTATTAAAGAGACAGAGCATGGCAAAGAGCTGCCCCAAGGAGAGCTGGAGAAACGTTAGCTGTTGTGATCATCAATTCTCACCGAGGCTCCATGCCAAGAAAAGCAGCTTTTCCTGTGCCTTCCAAAATGCTTGGCACAAGGTCATGCTACAGATTTCCCCATTTCCATAAGGGGTTCAGGGATATGGCAGGTGTTAGAGACTTAGCAACGTACCCAGACTAAGGTGCTCTGGGGACCCTACCTCCAGAAACATGGCCTCACTAGTGACTGCCAGGGTTAGAAGTAGCGTCCTGTGTAAAATGCAGGTGCACTGTCTTTTTGTGGGGGGGGGCTTACGTGGGCTTTGCACTTGACATGCACCCTCTCCCTGGAGTCTCTCAATAACCCTCTGAGGGAACATCTATTATCATCCCCTTTTTCCAGATGAGGAAAACAGAGGTTCAGAGAGACTAAGAAACTTGCCCAAAGTCCCACAGTGTCAGAGAAGCAAGGGCTGAGATTTATTCCTAGGTCTGATTCTGGAGCCCAAACCTTTAATCACCATGACACTGGAATTAGCAAAATCAATTAATATGAATATCTAGCGAATCAGGTCAATAAATTCAGATTGGTAGACATTTATGCAATGTTATATGCCTGCCATGTGCTTTTTATATATATAAAAATATATCAGATCTAAACAACAGTTTCTAAATCCCTGCAGGGACTGATTGTGTTTTGGGCTCTCTGTTTTATTTATTGCACAGTGATTCACTTACTTTAGAAACAACAAAAAATTCAATATAGGGAAAAACAGACTGTTCAAAAACATCACTAGGTCGCTGGACAGGGCAACTGAGGAAAAGGTCTGGCCGGGCATCACGCCTGTAAAGGGGAGATGGCGGCGGACAGGGAAGAAGGGCTGAGCAGGTGTGGGCAGCTGCAGGTCAGATTGCAGGTCCCTGAATTCTTACTGCCTCCAGCAGCACTTGGAATTAGGGTGCTTTGTTTCCTTGTGGCCCTTCTGTGTCCAGCTAATTCCAGTATCAACTGCTCATCGAAAATAAAGGCACAGTTAACATCCACACATCCTGATAAAGACACCAAACTGATATTACCCAGAACTGCCTTTCCTTCCAAGTTTAGAAAACCAGGGCCCTAGTGTTCTTACATTACAGGATCTTGTCTCCCAGGGCCTGTACATGGACATCTCTGTTTACCCACGTACAGGCACAGTGAGCCAAGCTTGGGGAGGAGTGATTCTGGGCTCTGATACAGTCTTGGGTGTAGCCTGAAAGAAGGAGATAAAAGCTGCAGGCTATCTTGTAACAGTAAAAGCTCACTGTCCCGAGAGAGAGGCAAGGGGCGGGTGTAGCAGGAAGGCTATCTGCCCACCCTGGGCCCCTGGTTATTGCTAAGCTGGTGGGGACGTAGAACTCCCCCTCCCCACAACACACACACACACAGACCCCAGGCTGAGTGTTAAAAGGAAAACAGTCCTGCAGGTGGTGGAGGGGGGAGCAGCGGGGGGACTGAGGCCAGCCACTGGTGACAGCTGCATCTCTTCGGCTGCCAAGGGAACCACCGGCTCCAGTGAGCCAGGGCAGGGGGCCAGGTAGCCCCCGTTTCTCAGACTGGGTCTCCAGGCTAAGCAGGCACATTTAATTCTTCACCTGGGTTGCAGCTACAACCCGTTTCTGATGATTTTAGCGTAGCTGCAGAGATAAGAAAAACAGAAACATGCCTTCTCTATTTTCAAGGGGCCATGACAGGGTCACAGCACTTTCTGTAATTTAGAAGTCCTGACCCCAACCGTTCTCTGGCGGTATTAACACCACTCATCCTTTTATTTCCTACTTTAGGACCTCAATCAGAGGCAAGGCAAGGTGGGTGAAGAAACACAGGTACTGAGCAGCTAACACCGGACAGAATGCAGCATCGAAATGGGTCGATCACCTTCTGTTAGAGCAGATAAATGCAGAGTGGCTCTGAGATACAAGGAGTCATCAGGATTATGTATTTGACATTCATATGACCGAATATATCTTTCCCAGGTGCGTTTGGTCTTCATCCACAGTTCCTGAATGAAAACACTGCTGAGTCTCAAAGGTCAAATGGCTGTCTTGTCATGTTAATAACAGACTTTCTGGACCCCTACCCAAGGGCAGGGCTGGAAGCTGAATCAGCCAAGGGCCAGTAATTTAGTCAACTGTGACAGCCCTCACAGGAACCCCTGAGAAGAGCTTATGGCTCTCTTGGGTCCTGCTTCTCTGTCAGGGAGAGCTTCTAAGGTTGGGGAACCAGAACACCTCCACATGCCATGGAGCCAGGCCCCAAGCTCCTGCGGAGAGAAGCTCTTTTATTTGAGACCTTGCCCTGTATCTCTCTTCATCTGGTTGTTAACTTGTATCCTTTATTAAACTGGTAAGTGTGTTTTCCTGAGTTCGGTGAGCCACTCTAGCAAATTAATTGAACCTAAGTGGGGAGGATGTGGGGACCTCCAACCTGAAGCCGGGAGGTCGGAAGCACAGGGAACTGCCTGGGACTCGCAATCAGTGTCTGGAGTTGGGGGTGGAGGGCAGTCTTATAGGACAGAGCCTTAACCTGGGCAATCTGGTGCCATCTCTGGGCAGACAGCATCAGAATTGAGTTCTCAGACACCCTGTTGGTGTCTGAGGATTGCTTGGTGTTATATGTGGGAAACCCGCCCCCTCCCTCGCCCACCCCCGCCCCACGCATTGGAATCGGGTCTGGGAACTTGAAGGGAGTTACACTATTACTGCTGTGTACACTACTATTGTATATGTATGTAGGAAAAGACACCATAGCAGGCTGTCATACACAGAGACTCCATCACACTGAGAAGGAATAATCTACCACTACCTATGGCAACCAACGTGAACTCCAGAAGGTAATGCGCAGTGACAGGAGCCAGGCGCACTGGGATACCTACCCCCTGACTCTGTTTACAGAAAGCTCAAGGGCAGACAAAACTTCCAGTGTTGGAAATTGGAGATGGGCACGGGAGGGGTCTGGTTTTAATTTGGAGGTTGGCTACATGGGTGTAGCTGGGCCTAGAAAATCAAGGGTAAATTTAGGATTTGGGCATCTTTTTAATGTAAAAAGTTAGAAACATAAATACAATCAGCCGAAAGATAGAGAACCCTATTCACAAAAGCTTCGAATTAGAAACAACTCAGGATCTGATTTTAGGGGACAAAGATCTCTAGTGCTATCAGTCTTAGAAGCTACACTGTCTCTTCAGCCAAATGCCAAAACAAAGCCCCTTTGAGAAAGCAGCGAAACCTTCCTGGATTTTCACAGCAGATAAAGCCGCGCTTGGCCAGAGCCTTGTCAGTAACTCAGATGGAAACAGGGGACCGTTTCTCTGGAGAACCAATCTCTCCTGAAAATTACAGCCCGATTTTCTTTTATGCACTTCTGTCAATCCTCTTCCCGTGTTCTCCTCAAATCTACAGGCTGCTCACAATTCTCTTTACCTAACATGGTATTTCTCAATCTTCTTTTTCATTTTATTTTCAGTCTCCTTTCAGGAAATTCTTTTCCCAGTAGTCCCCTATACAATGTGAATGCCACATATTTCCTGTGTGTCGGTGCCTGTTTGCTGTGTCTAGCTGTGCTTTAATCCTAAAACATGTAAAATTTTTTCTGCACCCCCAACAAACAATTTCACCCCCTCGGGGGCATTATCAGCCCCACTGAGAAAGCATAATCCACTTAACCAAATAATTTCATCTCCAGAAAGGTCCTCTTTTAAAATAAAGGTGTTACTGAAATTTATAAAGACAGGTGTTAACCGGGACTCTCCTGCAAACTGGTTCCCCAATCCGTACCTACGGCAGCTGCAGGGACACGGTTACTCCAAGTCCCCTAAGAAGTTGGTTGAAGGTACAGAGTCCCGGGTCCTGCTCTCAGATTTTAACTTAGCAGGTCTGGGGTGGGGCTGGGGATGTGTTTCTAATTAGACATCTTCCACCTGATGCTGATGTGATTCTGATGCAGCCAGTCTGACAAGACTTGGGAGCCCAGCCTTGGGAACCCATCCTCACTTGCTCCTGGGGTCCCAGAAAGTCATGACTGACTGGGGGAAGAGAACAGGCCCTTAAAACATCCAGGCACACACTGTGTGGCCCCCCAACATAAGGTTGGGCACTAGCTTCTCAACAGACACGTCCTTGGGGTTTTTTATTCCTAGGTGAGGACGGAAATCCCATGGCTCTTCTCCTGTCCCACCCACCTCTTCGGGTTGGGGCACAGAATAAATAAGTCGTGTCCCCAACATCCCTCCCACTCCCTGTTGAGTCTGAGGCTTCCATTCCATGCCCAGGCCGCTCTACTCATCAACAAAGACGTGAACACCACCAGCAAGGATAGAAATCCAGGCTGTATGTTAAGAATGATCTCATCAGAAAAATATCACACTTCTTAGGCAACACGCACAGGTGGTAAGCGACCATTGACGGACCTTTGAGGATTCGCTGATCTTGTATGGCCGAGACACTCGCGTCGGCCGGCTTCCCTCCATCATAAGCGAGACTGCAGCCCTACGACAAGAACAGGATGTCTGAGCGGGTGGTGATAACTCTAGGTTACTCATTAATTGCAGTAGCTACTGATGCTGATAAGATCAACGACAAGGGCGAAAACAGTCACACGGAGAAAACAGCATACTACCAAGACCGCTTTCACGCTGCAAGTTGCAAAAACCAGGTTAGAATGAGAACATTTAACAAGGGTTCCTTTACCTTCTGAAACCGGACAATATCATGTCTTTGAGGCCACCTCCTACAAATACCTACACCTTCTGATGCTTGATCTCAACTGGACTTTTTGGCTAGCCTAGACTAGGACCCTGGAACCAAGCTAAGGGATTTACATGCTATCTCATTTAACCCCCACCTCCACCTGGCCAGGCTGATGTTACCTGCCCCATTTTACAGACGAGGAGATTGAGTTCAAGGTCACAAAGTCAGAAAATGGCTGGGAATCAAACCTGGGTCTGCCCAGCTTCAAAACTGGATAGACATGAGCCCTTCACCATGAAGCCTGCTGAATGGGGCCCAGACTTTGAGAGTATCGTACTTTTAAAATATCATAATTTAGTTAAGATGAAGAGCAGTACACATTACCACACGTAAAATACGCTCTCCTTCTAGACACAGGCACTGTCTTCAGGGCTTTCCTGAGTCTTAGCTGATTTTACCCCCAAAACAACCCCACAAGGACAGCACTATTATTCTGTTTAGGGAGGAGGAAGCTGAGACCAGTGAGGAGAAGTAACTTGTCCAGCAATGGGCAGGAGGAAGTGGAAGGGTTGGGATTGCAACCCAGGAAGCTTCTGTGCTCTTACTAGGCTACCCGCCCTGGCCATGAAGAAACACCCACAGACAGGAAACCTCTGCCTGTGCCCCGCCTGGGAACAGCCAGTATGAACTTGAACAAGCAGGTAAACCTCTCCAGACCTCATGGCCACGCCCATGGGGTGGGCTGGTAGGCGGGCAATGTTAAGGTTTCCTCCAGCTTTGAAATGCCAAGCAGCTCACTAACAGCACTGAGCCGACTTTGGGGGACCTCAAGGATGGGGACACACAGCGGAAGCACCAAGCTACCAATAGGGGCACGTAACCTACTGGGGCTGAGGGTTTGAGGAGGAAGTTTTTCCCCTGCTGAACTGAGAAGAGTCAGCTTGTCACCTGTTGAACAAACATCCTTTACTAATAAAGAACAACGTGACAAAAAGCCAGCACTGTGTCAGGATAATCCGGGACACAGAGAGGGGGGCTCCAGCGTTCCCACGGGAGGAGTAAATTCAGGCGCAGACCATCCTGTCCAGTTCCCTGGGGGAAGGAACAACTAGATTTCTCCTGACAAACTAGCAACTTTCTGATAAAGGCCCGCTGTACCCTCGCTTGTCCTTTCTGACTGCCCGGTAGTTGCTGCGGGGCTGAGAGCGCGAAGGAAGCAGCACTCCTGCAAGGCCTGCTTCTTTCACCTTTGCCCCGAGACAGGTGCCACCAGCATCTGACACTCAGGTGCAGGTGGTGGAAGCCGCCCCCCGCCCCCCCACCAAGGTCACACAACATAAGCAGCTGGTCCCCCTCCACCGCCCCAGGCAGCCAGCCCGGGCTCAGGTTTACCCCCGGTGCTAAAAGCTTTCTTTTCTAGGCCAAGATTTCTCGAGAGTTTCCCCGGGGGCGGAGGCTCCCCTTTGTCTCGGGGTAAGTGGTTTGGAGCGGATTTCTACAGCAGTATTGGGTATCCGCTGCCTCCCCGGCTTTCTGGGAGCAGGTTGAGGGTCAAGGCCACCCACCTGGGCGGTGACAATCACCAGCTACGCCTACAAGGTTTTTCGATAAACATGGGGACTGGAGCCACGTCCGGCGCGAGGGTCCCCGGGGACCCTCCTCTCCGAGTGCCTTCCCCGCGTTTCCACCCCGAACCTGCCCGAGCACAGCGCTCGGGGAAGCCCAGGGCGGATGAGGTGGACACAGGCCCGCCGGCACTCACCGTCCCGGGTCCCGAGGCAGGCTCTCGGGGGCGCCGCTGTCGCCGGTTCGGACCCGACACCCCCGGGCGGAACTGCCGGCACCGCGGCCGCCGGGCGGGCTCGAGCCGGCTGCGGACAGGCGGCGGGGCGCGGGGACACTCACCTGGGCGGCACAGGCCGCACCTGCCGACCTGCGGGGCGCCGCCCCCCACCCCCCGCGGTGGCCCGCGCCCACCCGCCCCGAGCACAAAGGGACGTCGCGGGGCGGGCGGGGGAGGGCGCGGCTCGCAGGCCCGGGCCCCCGGGTGCCCCCGCTCCGGCCCCTGGACGGCGCGCGGCCCCGGGAGGCGGCGGCGGGCGCGCGCGGAGGCCCACCTGGGAGGGCGCGCTACGGGCGCGGCGCGGAGACCCCCGGCGGCGGGGCGCGGCGGGCAGGGCGGCGGGCAGGGCGGCGGGGCCGGAGCCCCCGGGCCCCGGGCCCAGCCGGCCGCGCAGCCATGGCTCCGCCAGGAAGTGCGAGGCCGAGGCGGAGGCGGCGCGCGCGGCCAATGGCGGCGGCCGGGAGGGGTGGGCGCAGCGGCGCGAGGCGGAGCCTGGACTCGCGGCGGGGCCGCTCTCCGGGCCGCGGGGCTGCAACCCACCCCCGGCGCGGCGGACCCCCGACTCGGGCCCCGCAGAGGCAAGCCGGGCCGCGTGCCGCGAGCGCCGCGGTGCCACCCGCCGGGCCGGGCTCCGGGCCGTGGTCAGTGTGCCGGGACCGGAGCGCCGGGCTGGGCAGCGCGATGGCACCTTCGTGCCCTGCTCTCCTTTGGGTCTTGGCTCGACTGTCACCTGCGGCACCCCACGGGTGGCCTTCGCTGACTCCCCGAATGCACGTTTCCCCTCGCTCCCCTCCACCCCCAGCTTGAATCTTCACTTACTCTTCCCACGGTCTGCTATTCCAAATCACTTTCTTTTCATTTGGCTTATGGTCTCTCTCCCGCCCTAGGAACCCTGTTTGCATTCCCGGTGGCCCCCAGGGCTGGCACAGAGGAAGCGCTCGGCAAATATTTGTGGAATGAATGAATTTAACCATCACCTGTCAATCCATCAATTGTCAAATTTATCTCAGGCTGCAGCATAAATGAACTTTGAAAGCATTACGCTAAGTGAAAGAAGCCAGACACCAAAGGCCACATAGTGTGTGATTGCATCCACACGAAGAGCCCGGGACAGGCAAACCCCCAGGGCAGGAAGCAGACCCCTGGTTGAGGGGACTGGGGGTGTGGGCGGGGGAGGGGAGTGCAGGTGGCTCTTAGAGGATAAGGGATTACTTTGGGACAGGATAAGACTGTTCAGAAATTTGATAGTATTGATGACGACACAGCTCTGAATAAACTAAAAAATATCGACTTGTACAATTTAAAAGGGTGAATTTATGGTATGTGAATTATATCTGAAAAAGCTGTTACAAAAACAAAACCAAACAAAAAACTCTCTGTTGTTCTATTCACTGCATTTAGAGTATCCTTCAGGGCTGCGTGGGGTGCGTAAAGCATGGCGAGATCCAGCCACTGAAGGGGGCCAGAAAAGAAGAAAAAATAAGGGTGTAGAGTCGGCATGACCTGGCAGATGCTCCAGGCATTTCTTTGCTCCTTCGATATGGCAACAGCTCCAACCCCTCCCATCCCTTAGTTCCCTGCACCCCCGAGCAGCCTGGATCTGGATCCGTCCCCACCCTTGCATAGCACCTCCTGCCAGAGGCGGCCTCTTGTGCGAGGACCAGTGGGGGCCAGGGGTGATCCTCAGGCCCCTCCGGTGCCAAGTAAGGACGCAAGGGGGTTTCTGCAGTGATGGAAGGACTGCGTGTCTCACTCCCGCAGAGGGGCAGACTGGCAGTGGGCTAAGCTCCCCCATTTTCTTCCGAGTGAACTGCCCCCTCCCTGGCCTCGGTTTCCTCAGCTGTAGATGGGACCCATTCACACAGCGCCAGCCTGCTCTGGTCTCCTGGGCCTCCCCGTCCTAGCTGAGTCTACTACCCACCCACACCCTGCTTCTTTCTGAAAAGTATTACATTTATGGAACTTTTTTTTTTTTGCTTTCCATGACTGAGATTTGTATTAAATATTATTTTGTTGAGAAACAAAAGTATAGAAAGTATCTTTTTAAATTAAAGGGAGCTAGGTAAAACTAGCCCTGGAACCACCTAGAAGAGATCCTTAAAGTGATGTTCTTGCTGCCTGAATTGCTGTGTCCCCCCACGCCCCACCCCACGCTCCCCTTTTCTATGGGGACAAACACACAGCCACCCTATGATGCTTTACTCAGGCACCATCTTTGCTCTGAAGCCTTGGTTGCCCATCTTTGGCTCTTCCTTGACCCACCTCCCCCTCAGCAAAGCTCACCGCACATCTTGGTCTGTGTCTGTACTTTGACATGTGAATCTTGCTATTACAGGAATTCACTCACTGCTTCCTTCATTAATCCATTCGACAGACTTGCAGGGACTTGCTACTGTGTGCTGGGCACTGTGGGACACAGGGAGAGAAAGAAGAAACTTTCAAGGATTTTAGGGAGGGAGGCAAACGCGTAAACGAGCAATACCATATGGTCAGCCTTGTGTGAGGGTTATGTTCAGAGTGCTGTGAATGGCAAGTATTTTTATAGCTGTAGTTACAGATTCTCCCTATATAGCTAGATAAGTAGATGTATATAGGTGGATAGATATAGATGGTTATAGATATGTGGGTATATCTGTATCTATCTAGAGAGATTTAGCTATAGATGTTTCATTTCAAGAGCCTATAACTTGGCACTGACTCTGTCTCCCAGGTGTTGGGTTCTTTACGAATGAGAAGATGTACAGACTGAGGGGGAGGCCTGGAGTAAGGGCCTGGGAGAAGGCCAGGAATCCGCCCCTGACTTTGACCTGAAAAATGTACACATGGAGCTGCTCTGACTTCATTCTATTTTCCCCAATGCCATTTGGTGCACCACCTATTGACTTTTTTCTTTAATTAACATTTTCTCTGAAATTATAAAACTATGCGTACTTGGGAAATATAGAAAAGTCCAAAAGGAAAAATAAACCACTCCTGCACCACCCAAAATAATAATATTGTCTCTCCACATTTTCCCTTATATGATTTCTTTCCAATAATAATAACAGCAGCATTTTATAGGGCTTGTTATGTGTTAAGACATTTACAGATGGGGAAATTGAGGCCCAGGGAAGTTAAATACTTGCCCAGAGCTGGTGAGGAACAGAGCTGGGCTTTGAACCCAGGCAGTCAGGCTTCACAGTCTGCGGGTCTAACCTTGCCGTCTGCACCATCGTGCCTCTGTGCTCTGATAAAGGTGATGCAAGCTCAGCGTGGAGAACCTGGACGGTGCAGACATGCGTGAAAGGGGAGGATGCATCCATTTGAGGAGAAAGCTGTCAGCCCTTAAGCGGAAATCAGCTCAGTATTTCCCCCATGCATCACTTCTCTATGCATCAGTGTGCAAAGAAGGTCATGGGGTACAGCCCTTTGGTAACCACTTTTTCTCCCCTTTTACAAAGTCATGAGTTTTTCTCCTGTCAGTAAATTCTCTTCTACAAAATGCTCTTAGCAATGGCAACTGAGCCCTGGATTTGGACTGCGCACTTGACTCTCCCTAATCGTTGGGCACCTGCTAGTTTCACTATTATAAATAACACCAGGAGAATGTTCTTGCACCCGCACTTTTGTGCACTGACTCCGTGCACTTGACTTTTTTAAAGAAAAAAGTCAAGGTGGGTCAGAGGGGAGTGTACCTGTAAGCCTCTAACCAACCCCCCAGAGGTGGCATTAGTGGGTGCCCCACCACAGTGACTCAGCACACTGCCACTTTGGAGATTCAGAGGTCATCAGATGGAAGCAGGGCCGTCTACATAGTTTACAGGGACGAGTGCAAAACAAAAATGTGGGGCCTCTTGTACCAAAAGCAGGAGAAAACCCTTTTCCTTTCCTTTGCAGTCTCTGTCTTGACCTGCTGAGGTGCTTTTTATTTGTCATTACTTGAGGGACACTGTACAGACCCACAGGAACTGTGGGCCATGCGATAGGGTGGGCAGGGCCTCAAGGGCCCTTCCTGTACCCATGCTCAGTCCCCCACTGGGTGACAGTAATCGCTGAGCAGGGGCACCAAGAGGCAGGAAAGCAGCGGGGAGGGAGGTGGACTGGGCATGAACCTACGAACCAGCTCCAAGTTCCCCAGCACATGATCCATTGTCCCATTTGGATCCACTTATACAACACAAATTCAGAGGATAAAATTAGGAATGTCAAGACAACAGTGTGAGAGCATTAAATGCCAGGCGTGGAGCCTTTCTAGATGGGACAATTGGAACCATCACCAAAGAGGAACACAGGAGGCTCATGTTATTTCCATGCTCAATACCTCAGTTCAAACACAGGTGTCCCAGCACAGTGCCCCTTGTGAAGAAGCATGTCATCTGGACACACAGAAAGGGCAAAATAAAGGTCAGGGGGATGGCTGGCAAGCCAGGGCTGGGTTACCGTGGGGAGTGCACAGGCCTGTGCAAACACTGTTCTGATGTGTAAACCCTGTAATACGGTGACCTCTTGGGTCCAGGCTATGGTTATCCCCACTTTCCAGATAAAGAAGCTGAGGTTCTGGATGGTTGGATGGCACGTCTAATACCGCACAGCGGGAAGTGCAGGAACCAGGATGAGGAACCCACATCATGTGCCAGTGCCCAGTTAGCCAGCACACTGGAAGTTTCCTTGGGCTATCGAGCTGGCTCTGACCTTCCTGGAGCCCAGGAAGTCACACAGGTACTAAGGCGAGGCAGGGGAGGTGTCAGCGAACTGTCCCGTCAGCTTGCCCCCCTACAGCTGGGCTTGGCAGGGGTGGGACCTGAGACCTGTTCCTTCCAGCTGCAGCCTCCCCTCCAGGGAGTTTCCAGGTTCCAAGCCTCCTGGGGGAGGAGGGGGTGGGGAGCAGTTTCTCTAAACAGTCTGTTCTTTTCACCAAAGGTTTGTCCTTGGCCCAGATTCCCTTCCAAAGGATGAGTAATCTAGAAAAATCGAGCCTGGCATAAAGGAGTGGGCCTTGGGGCCAGCCCCGATCACGTCTGCAAGCGGAACTCTTGGCCTGCTCACACTTGCAAGTTTGTAACAGTGAAGTAGCAAGACTATCAGACCAGCTAATGGGCGGAGCTCCATGGGAGTCTGC